CTGTAGTAATATGGGATTCATTCACTAAACGTAACATTAATCAATTAGAAAAAGTGCAGAACAAGGGCTTACGTTTTATTTATAACTCCTACGGTAGAACATCCGTATCTGAATTATTGGTAAAAAGCGGTCTGCAACCCGTTGTGGACAGAAACCGCACTTGCTGGCTTAAGTTTTTCTATCAATTAATAAATGGTCATTTAAATGTTGACAATGCAGGCATTCTTCGGTATTCTTCCGGTTACGCAACTCGCAAGCGACATAGTAAAACGATAACTCCTTTACCTTCACGGATTAACTGCCACAAGTATTCGTTCTTCCCTAGAACTATTAATGACTGGAATAGCCTGACAAATGATGTCGTTTTACAGAAGAAACTGTCATTGTTTGAAAACAGCATCGCCTAAACCATCACTACACATTGCATTGTATTATTTGTTTTATTGTAATTATTGTGTTAGTCTATAACCCGTATTCTACGTGTTACGTTATTATGTGTTATGTTACTCGAAAAATTTGTTGAAATAAGCGTTTGTGAACCTTCGCCTTGTATATTCAAATCGTACGATTTATTGTGTTTTCATTATTTTTTTGTATGTACCGATTCTCGAACATTTTTTTCCCACCCTGCCATGATCTTTCAGCTGAAGGATCGCAGTATTTATAAATAAATAAATAAATAAAAAATTTGGGATACATATCAGACAAAAGAAGCACATGCATCAGTTCCAGCTCCATTGTACCAACCCCCATTAAAATCTAATTCATGATTGATTGATTGATGATTGATATATGGGGTTTAACGTCCCAAAACCACCATATGACTGTGAAAGACACCGTAGTGGAGGGCTCTGAAAATTTCGACCACCTGGGGTTCTTTAACATTTGCCCAAATCTGAGCACACGGGAAAACGAATTAATCAGAAGCCATAAATAGCATTTTAATCAGCATACTTGGATAAGAACTTTGAATCAGCACCACATCTGATAATTGTAATCACCCCAGGTTTTGCACCTGAAAACCATGGAGTAAGATCGCCGATTCCCACTCTCTTCGTAAACTGATTTTTCTCTTTCCAGGAAGCCTTCATTCTTCCAAGTTTGTTCATAAACTTCAGTTGATAGTTTGCGCTTGTACTGTCCACTTCTTTTTTTGTCTCCTCCATAACTTCGTTTTCTGCAGCAATTGTATCGCAATTTTTTCCAGAAACCAAGTAGCCCAATACCTCACTTTGTTAATGTAAGGCTTCACATATTTCTACACAAAAAGCCCAATCAAAAGCGCTTATTTTTGTATCCTTACAGTAACTCGACTGAAATCTCGCTGAGAAATGGTGCTATTTTGCTAAGAAACTCAGAGAGCACTATCTGAAGCAGAAGGACAGCACTGTTTACATGCCCTCTCATGCACCACTGTGTCTCTAGTGGTATGTGGTAACTGTGTAGAATATGAAACTGAGGCGGCAGTTTCTTTTTTGAAAGTCATTGAACAACTGCTATAGGAAAAAACTCCCTCTGGGCAAAGCACCGCCATCAGTGCCACAAGAAACAGTAAAGCTGCTACCATTACCTACTTCGCACTGGGAAATGGTCACACATTTGGTAGTGCCTTTGTCACGTTTTTTTTTTTTTTTTAAATAACAATTCCAACATTAGTCTTGTGGTTTGTGGTAAATGACTCGAGATTTACGTGGTTATGATAGCCATAATGGAAAGCAATAATGCACACCACCAAACAAAGCAGCAAACAGTTGTTGAACTTCTGCAATGTTACACTGAACACAATATATTAGTACTGTTGACTCTACAGACAACATTGAATGTATTACACATATTCAGTACAAAATAAGCTGTTGCAACTGAACCACATTGTAAACTTCCTTCCACCACTGCAATAAAAAAGTTCAGCACCTTTGAAATAAAGCAATGTTTCAAGATTTTTCGTGCTCATCTCACTGCAGCTGATAATTACAAAAGAATGACACGTAGCTATAGCTAGAATTCTTTTTAATGACCTCACATATAACGTGCTAAATAAGACGCTGTTTTAGGCAAGCTAATTTTAAGTAATTGACACTCGTGGCGAGAAATAGGCAAAGAGAAAAAGGTAGGGGCACAGGACACAAGTGCTTGTGTGCTATGCCCCAACATTGTGCCTACACTAGGTTTTTGCAGCAGATGTAAGGGACCGACAACAAACTTTTACAGGACCTATTTTGTTCAGTGCAACCTAACAATTACAGATCAGAGTGCTTTATCATAAAATGGCACAGTAGAAAATACCATGATTCGTTTATAATAAATTTTTTTATATCTTCAGATTTCATTGCACAACTGTAAGATTTGGTTATTCAACAAGCCCAAGGGGTAGTTCGTGACTCTTAAAGATATGATCCAGCTCAAATCGCAAAGAGGATCGTAAGACCTGTCACCAATCTACTGTAGATTCCCAGTGAAACGAAATCTGTTAAATGGAACTGCTGCTTACATAGAACTGCATCCAGCACAATTGGTTTCATACTTAGATTCTCCACCCTTGTTTATCTCCCAGTCAAAGAAACTCCCGTTAATTGAACACATTTTTTGGTCACTTGAGGTTCGTAAGACCTGTCACCAATCTACGGTAGACTCCCAGTAAAACGAAATCTGTTAAATGGAACTGCTGCTTACATAGAACAACTGCATCCAGCACAATTTTATTTATTTATTTACAATACTGCCAGTCTCTTACGAGACCAAAGCAGGAGGGCATGAGTATCAGAATACAATGAATGCTAAGTACTTTCTTACAGTCGGCATACAGAACTGTAGTTATTTTAAAATTGGTAATAATAATCCTAGTTACATAGAAACATTAGACATAGGTATTTATGCACTCCAAATATTCACACTTCGGAAGCAGCGAACTAAATCTTTGCTGCATAAAAAGAATCAATACAGTTTTATACAGAGAAGGCATTGCGTATACTTATACATCCAAATAAATACTACTGGAACCGCACAGCAGTCACAGAAAAAGCCGCCAGAGGGGCCTGCACGGAGGTTAGAGCAAAGTATAAGTGCAGGGTGTTGACTGTTTTCATGTTAATCTGTTTTCATGTTAATCTCCCAAGTATAGGTAAGTGTGGTACTAATGGTTTTCTGATTACCTGTAGTCGTATTATCCGCCACATTTTCGGCGAGAAAACACTCTAAGAAGCGTAAATTAGTACTCTTTTTTTCCGCCACCACATCGAGGCCGGGCCGCCTACAGACAGTCACGCCCAACCGCAGGCCGCATGTTGTGAGGAAAAATTTGACCTAAAATTCCGGCTACCCTTTGTCCCGGCGATTCTGACGGCCTGCGATTCCGCGATTCTGACGGATTAAATTGGATCGGTTTCTCTGCCACATGGCTACAGAGCCGCCTAGAGGCGGCGATATTCTGACTCGATGTCCTGCCTGCGGGTGTGTTGTCTAACAAGGATTTGATTTAGAGTGTAGGATACGTCATAGGATCATTCACTATCATACACAGCTCACCGCCTCTTTGCTCACATCTTCATGAACAGCCGCTACAATCGAAAAAAAAAACACGTGTTTTGAAAAGCCCCCACACTATACAAAGGAAGTGACGCTGTGTCAGCAGAAACCACTAACGAGATTTCTGCACACCTATAGCCCACGTCTTTCTCATCTTCTCGCTAACATTGCTCGCTTCCAACGAGGCGGCTCTGCGGGAAACTCGAGCGGTTGGTTCATATAGCGTTTGAATTAGGGGTGTCTCATGCACTAATGTCTTGTTGCTTTGGAAGTGGTGTTTAAATTCTCTAATAAGTTTTCCATTAAACTCAACTTTTGGGTCGTGTTTGTAAGCAGTCTCGTTAAAGAAGACCTCACCCAATTTTAAACATGCATAAGTATATGTCAGGGAGCTTGCTCGCAAACTTCTCATTCAGCCTTCCAGAGCACGTGTACAACAATAAATAAATATTGCTTCTGTCTCGAAACATCTAATAATGGTTTATATGTAGCTTGAAGTTGAACAAAGTAAGAGCCTTCCAGTGGCATGGGCGAACGCAAGAACGTTGCCTTCGTTCATGATTTCGATTTCCTGATCATAATTTTACAAAGGTTCTGTACTTTTATTTAGAGGACCGGAAAGTTCAAAATTGTTAAAAAAAGTACTGTGATACAGTCCAAAATCTTATTACACCAGTGACGCGCGAATCATAAAAGTGAAATACAACCACCTAAACAGCGAACATCGTCATCATCATGATCAGCAGCAGCAGCATGGCTACACCCACTGGAAGGAAAAGGCCTTTTCCATGATCTGCCGATAAACCAGGTCTTGCGCTTTCTGTTGCCACGTAATACCTAGAAACTATTTATTCTAATCGACT